CCCATTACTCGCGAGGGTATGCGTACTCGTTCGACAACTGTAGGCCTCTTTTTTGTCCCTAAACCTAAATTACAGTATTTTAAAATGTCATTTTATTACAGAGCCACCTCCTTTCTTAACACTCTTCCTTTTAAATGCAATATATCTCATTCTAATTTTAAAACCAAGTTAAAATTATATCTCAGAGAAAAGCAATAAAATTCAGATTTTAACCATCACCTTGTAATTTTATAATGAATTTTAAAGTTTAATGTATTTTTAATGAATGTTACAATGTTTATCCAATATTTTATTTATTATATTGTTTTTAAACTTTGCCGTAATGAAGCTTTTACTTACTTGGATTCTTAATGTATTGTATATATTTTTATGTATTGTTTTTCTTTCGAGGGCCTCTTCAAGTCAGCTGTACTACTGTAGTGCAGCTGTTAGAGCTACCCTCGTGAAATAAAGTTGAAATAAAATAAAATAAAAAAACCAATCACACGTACGCGTTTACAATTTCCAGTTTCTTATTGGCCAGTGATGCTAACGGTTAGCAGGATCCGGATCCTGCTAACCGTTAGCAGCCGTGTGAGAACATAGCCTATATATGAGCATACAACCGTTTTTTGTCGAAGAAAATTTGATAGCGTGGACAGAGCATAAGATAATAGGAAGCTTTTTATTTCGCTAGAACCAAATCACTCATGCGTGACCGTACGTACTCTGCATGCATAGATTTGGCCAAATTGCGTCCTACACTCCACGCAACGAGGAGAACTCAACATTTTTGCATGCGCAGATGACTATTAGTGACGTCATTACATTCCTTGTCATGCTTAACAACAGATCAGGCATCAGACTTCTGCCTTCAAGATCATATTTCATTGTTGTAGATATAGAAACTCATTTGTGCGAAATTTATGCATTCATTCTAATTTTTTAATTGAAAGCTAGAGCCATGTTAAGCCCTGTCCAAAACTTCCAAATTTAATTGGACAACAAGTGACATGCCTAAATAATAACTAATATTGTCATGATGAAATCACATTATGACCATATAGGCACATCTTGACTAGGGCATACAACATTTTACAACGTACAAAGAAGATTTGATAATCTGGACACAGCTTTATTCTGGAATTTAAAATAAAAATTTCGGCAGCATTTTATAGGCTAACTAGAATTATTTACGGTATTACACAAGCTTTTGGCAGCAGTATATGGTAGCTTTATCAGATAAACAAAGTTATCCTTAATTATTGAATTGAGCATTTAAATTACATAGAAAATTTCTTACATTATAGAAGAGTCCTTTCCCATCATGGGTCCAAGACATACAACTGAACTTTACACGTTCCAATACATCAGGAAGGTCCTTGATCTCAGAAACTTTCATGAACTAACAAAGAAAAACAGAACAAATATTGAAAAATAACACATCTGCTAATAGACAAAATTAATAATATTCACAAGGTGTTAAAAGTTGTGTATTATCATAATTGGATTACACTTCAAAGTTTAACTATAGTCCTGAATTGGAAGTTAGTCCGCTTTTGAGAATACTGGCCACAAAAATAGATAAGCCTGTTTCACATCAATATTAAATCTAGTTACTTGAATTATTACACAGTCCAGTAATTTCCGTAAGCTAAGGATAAGCTGTGCAACTGCACAGAGTAGAAATGACTGGAGGAAAGATATCATGGTGAACAGTCCAACCCATGCTAGCATGGATTAATTTAAGACTTTAAATTGATAATGTTGATGATGATTCTAAAAACCGAAAGGTCCACTGATTAATCTTAGATAAGAAAGTATAATACATACTCCAAGTATTGAAATACACGCCATCGTGTTGGGATTCAATATTTCTACATTAATTATGTCATTAATTAATGTCGAAATATCGACATTAATTATGTCATCATCATCCTGATGATGACATAATTAATGTCGAAATATTGAATTGATGACATAATTAATGTCGAAATATTGAATCCCAACACGATGGCGTGTATTTCAATACTTGGAGTATGTATTATACTTTCTTATGATGATTCTAGTTTACTGGATTTATTTATGTTTAGATTACACAAATTTTTTATTTAAATTTTGATGTTGGTAGTCTGAAGTGAGATACTTACCTGTATAAACTGACAAATTGCCTATGTTCCTGAAACAGACCTGGTCCAGACTGTTCTATTTTATTCTAAGAAGGGGTGTTGAATTTTACGAAATGTCGAAATTTTGATTTTAATGTTTTTAAATAACGTGATACATATATTTTATGAATGTATATTTTTTAAGTGAAGTTTCTTACTAAAAGAATGTGATCTGCGTATATTCTGTAATTCTAGTCCTATTATTAGTACAGGTTAGCTTATCTTTGAAGCCGATTTTCTCATACACCTAAACTTTAAATGCTGTTATCTCTGGATCTACTTATCCTAGAGAAGCCATTCAAAGACCAAATTAAAGCTTATAATGTGATCTACTGTACCTAAATAATATTCAATTTTGGCTTTTTTAACCATGAGACTCATTTTGTGGAGAGACCACCCACATTATTTATTTATTTGTTCTTTATACTGGGTTTCCTCTTCAGTAACAAATTACTGATTTCCCAGAGGGCCCATTTGAATCTTGACATAAGTTTGCTGTGAACCACGCAATAAAGTGCCCTGCTTAAGGTCACACATTAATAGCCAGCGTTTGATATGAACTTTTACCTTGATAGTGACCCAATCTGATCCACTGGCGCTCAGCCCATATGCAAAGTATTCACCATCCTCACTGAAAGCGTAGCCGCTTATTGCCATTGTTCCACCTTCGGAAAGTTTATTCGGATCAAGGAACACTTTTGCTTCAGCGGTGATCGAGTCCTGAACATACATTACACTACACCAAGAATAAAATAAATATTAGTAATATACAAGAGCAGCAGCTCACCGGTCCATGCGTTCCTCCACGCCTAAATACGGTACGGACGCAAGTTATTATATTGGGCTTTTTGGAAGACATAATATGATAGAAATTTTTAAATAATTAGTATATTTATTTGTACAAACAAAATTATTATTTAGAATTTTTATTTGTACAAAAATAAAATATCTTAAAATTGCAAAAAAAAAGTCATAAAATTGCAAAAAAAAAAAAAGAATACCAAGATGCGATTAGAACTCACAACCTTAAGTTCTTTAGCACATCCTTAACCGACCGTGCCATCCATGCGACGTGCCCCATTACTGGTAATGGCAGTGATGTACAGTCCTTGCTGAAACCCCTGTTTTGTTTTGTAGGTGTAGTGAAACCCTGGGGTCTAACTTAAAAAAAGGTGATGAACCTTTGTTGGAAATCACCTCTAGTTTATGTGTACAAAATTTACCGCATGTTCGTTTAAAACTGGTGACGCTGGATGCTTTTAAATTTCTGGTAACAAACATTGAGACTCTGGGGTCAGCGCTTTGCGTGGACAAAATAATGTACAAGAAAACAAAGGCTTATATCTGCATAAAAAAAATTAGTATCACCCTCCATTTAAGACCACTTTTGGGTCAAGGATTTCCATGGTCTTTAGCAGCTTTAGTCTCTAATTAGAATAATACAGATAAAAGAAATATGTTAATTTAAGAGATAAGCTTTATTAGTCTATTCACATATTAAAATACTGTACATACAGAAATGTTCCTTGAATCTGGCATAAACACACCAACACCAACAAACATCAAATTACAAAAAAGTAACTACTCATTACACAATCTAAATATTATATAAAATATTTTAAATATTAAATATTAATTAAATTATAGTTATAATTACGAAAAATTTCATTTACTACAAATTGAATGGAATTCAATATCAAAAATATCAATTGTAGTTCAAATATATATCAAAAATAGTAGTAGTAGTGGTAGTTGATTGGAGGTGTTTTTTTTAATTGGAGTGGGTCTTAAATTAGACCTTAGTGTATAATATTGAAATGCTAGTGATTAGTGCGTACCTTTGATTCTGGAGGCCAGTGTTCATAAAGTAGAAGTAACGAGAACCCCTCTTGAAGGGACAAGTGTACTTTGCAAAATCCCACATCTCAGTTAACCTGATTAAAGTAAACAAAACATATGAATTTAATAATACAGTACATCACTTTCAATTCTACAATGCATCACAAACCTAAAAAAATCATAACAAATAACTAACTTTATTGCTTCTCTTTTATAAAAGAGGCACAACTGTAAAAGAAGTGCAACAATAACAAAGTAAATAAAAAATTATTTTGATATCTTTATAAATTGGCTATATGGCAATAGAAATATGTGGAAAACTTCATATTGACTAAATTGTTTATTTCTGGAGTACAGTACCTGTAAAAATATAATATGCTTCAAACCTTTGCGCCTTAACCTGATTCACTATGCTTAAGAAAAAGAAATCATAGAGGCCAAATAACATGACACATCTTTACAGATTGTTTATAAAGCAATAGAAATTTGTGGGAAATGTTTGATTTGATCAAATTGTTTACTTCTGGAGTACTGTACCTTATAAATAAATTATGCTTCAAACCTTTGCATCATATTAGTAACCTGCCTACAGTAACTCACTATGCTTTGGAATAAGACATACAGGCCAAAAAATATAGTATTTCTTGTCAATCAAACACATGGTCCAAAATCCGAATCCAAACAAGATAGAAATTAAATCTTAAAAGCATTAAAAGATACATTAAGACCGGAGGGAGCAATAGTGCCTAATTTAAAAATCAATTTTTGCTCCAAGTTTTTTCTAATAGTGTCGGATCCTTGACAGAGAGAAACACCAGTGATCTTGATATCTTCTTTACTGTGGTTATGACTAAAATGAGATGCAATGGGTAAACCAGCTTGCCGGAGACGGATGGATCTAAGATGTTCAGTAAAACGATCTGCCATTCTCCTTTTGGTTTCGCCGATGTATACAAGATTACATTTAATACAGATAATAGCGTATATGAGATTGATGGAAGTGCATGAGAAAGTG